CTCTCTCTCTCTCTCTCTCTCACTCACTCACTCACTCACACTCCCCACACATTTACAGCAATTTTAAGCATTTATTTAATTTTTAAAATACAGGCAAAGACACAAAACTGATGCAAAATAGCGGAAAGACTATATTCAAGCGAACAAGCCTGGACAGACTATTAAACATATTGATTATCGGGGTAATTATAATTATACTAAAATTATTACATAGTCAAAAATTTTAATTTATATTCATTTGTCTTTATTAACACTTTTTTTTATAGATCGTATTATTCTTAATATTTATGTGTGCGATCTGTACGATAGGGAGTGGTATTTGGGAGACCACCACGGGACAATACTTCCGGGCATACCTACCCTGGGAGTCAATAGTACCGAACAGTCCGAAAGGTGGCGCCACTGTCATAGCGGTGTTCGCGTTCTTCTCGTACGTCATAGTCCTCAATACAGTGGTCCCCATATCGCTGTACGTGTCGGTCGAGATGATCCGCTTTTGTCACTCATTGTGGATCAATTGGGACGACCAGATGTATGACCCGATCACAGACGTGGCGGCAAAGGCCAGGACCACGACGTTGAACGAAGAGTTGGGACAAATTCAGTACATATTCAGCGATAAGACGGGAACTTTAACCCAGAATATCATGACGTTCGACAAGTGCTCAATAGATGGCAAGCTTTACGGCTATGTCTGCGATGAGACTACCGGCGAACCGGTGGCGCCATCTGACGGCGTAGTTTCGGTTGATTTTTCCGGTAACGCCTGGTATGAGGAGTCCTTCAAATTTTATGATCAGACACTTCTCGATGAGATACGCGACGGTGATCGAGAGGTTCGGGAGTTTTTTAAGCTACTGGCGCTCTGTCATACGGTGATGTGCGATGAGAAAGACGGTAAACTTGAATACCAGGCGCAGTCGCCCGACGAGGCGGCCCTCACATCTGCCGCTCGAAACTTTGGTTTCGTATTTCGGGTACTATTTCGTCATATGAGTGCCAAACTGTGCCTAAAATGCAAACTAGTGTTGAAATACTTTTACAAATTAATGCACTACTCAAAACACTAGTTTTTAGTTTATCATTATAAACTTTAGATTTTTTTACATATTACTAATTGAAAAGCTAATAACTAGTGTTGTAAGTCATTCGTTAATACAAAATATAAAAGTATTTCAACACTAATTTGCACTTATCTCACTGTTTGGCACTGGTAGATTTAGTCAATTAGGTAAAAGACATGAAATGGTATCAAATGTTATGTTCCCGTGAATAGAGCCGAACGCCGACGAGTATAACGATCGAGGAATTGGGCGCAACTGAAGTCTACGAACTTCTAGCTATTCTCGACTTTAATAACGTTCGCAAACGAATGTCTGTAAGTATTTCCAAAACCCCCCATAAAATGTCATTTTAGTCGCTCTAATAAAATTGTACCTAACAATGTGCTTGGTGCATTTAAGGTGATCATTCGTAAAAACGGCAAAATCATGCTGTACTGCAAAGGCGCCGATAGTGTGATATTCGAGCGAATGGACGCCAGTTGTGCCCAAATAAAGCTCAATACTGTCGACCACTTGAATCGGTTCGCCGGGGAAGGCCTACGGACCCTGTGTTTGGCGAAGAAAGAGCTCGACTCTCATTACTACGACCAGTGGAAGGAAAGGCTCCACACGGCCTCCACTTCTATGGTGGACAGGGAGGAGAAGGTGGACGCCGTGTACGAAGAGATTGAACAAAACCTCGTACTTATAGGCGCCACAGCTATTGAGGACAAACTACAGGACGGTGTCCCGCAATGTATCGCTAATCTAGCGGCCGCTGGCATTAAGCTCTGGGTGTTAACCGGAGATAAACAGGAAACGGCTATTAATATCGGTATGACTATAATGAGTGTGTTATGATGTTGTGTATCAATTAGTAGTATCATATTTAGCTATGATTAGCATTCATTGTAAGCCGGGCAATATTACCAATGAGATAACTTTGAACGTTGTAACATTAATTTCCATACTGACTAATGTTATAATGTTCAAAGTTTTGACATTGCTAATATAGCCCGGCTTAACTATACTTGAATCATAGTTATAATTTCTTAAACATGTAAACCAGGTTATAGTTGTCAGTTGTTAACCGACGACATGGTGGACACATTTACGATAGAGGGCTGGGAGTACGAGGAGGTGGAGCATGAGTTACAGAGGTGTCGCGAGAGTATGGCAAATGTCATGAGTCGCGCGTACGGCACCGCCTCCTCCGACATAAATGTCGTGTCATTTCGCGACCAAACGTCGAGTCCCAACGCCCGTCCTGTCGACGCGACCGAAACCGATCCGTTCGGGGGGTTTGCGCTCGTCATCAACGGTCACAGTCTTGTTCACGCACTCAACCCACAGATGGAACTCTTATTCCTGGACGTGGCCTCCCTGTGCGACGCTGTCATCTGTTGCCGGGTGACACCCCTCCAGAAAGCACTGGTCGTTGATCTCGTTAAACGACATAAGAAAGCGGTCACTTTAGCCATAGGTGACGGCGCTAACGATTGCAGTATGATTAAGGGTATGTCGACTCCCACTCCCTCCCCTCTCCCCCCATTTCATCGATCATTTGATAATTGTTTCTATTTATTTTATAATTAGCCGCACATATCGGCGTCGGGATCAGTGGACAGGAAGGTAAGAGACCTATTGTATATGAATCGATGGATTTATTAATGGGTTTCTAGAAAATAAATATACTTGATTATTAACTATAAGTAATGTTTTATTCAAATGTATGCATGATAGGTGATATAAAGTTTATTTTATTTATATTTATGAAAGATACATTTTTATCATTTATGATCAACTACCTTACATACAGTTAATAACCAATATAGGGGCATACACAAAAAAAAACAAGAATGCGAAAACTTAAATAGCTTCCTAACTACAAGTCCTAGACTTAAACGGTAAAAAGTATTATTAACATCTATTTAATGCAGTACATATACAGTTAAAATAAAATTTATAAAAATGTAGAGTAATAGAAATAATGGAATGTTTGCAAAGGTCATAGGTACAAGTCAGGGTAGAGGTCATGGGTCAAAATTGTTATGTGAATATGAAAGCTCAATAGTAGAGCTTTCATTTAAGCCATATGTGGTAAAAATCGAATTGCTAATAATGACTGCGATATAAAATGTAAGATATGATTTCCCATGTTAATGACAAAAATTTTAGAAATCAATGGATATTATTATGTCAATACATGCTTTCCTTCTGTGCAAATAATATCACTGAAAGAATTTTTAAATTATTCCAATTAATAAAGAAATGGCAGCGTTTTGAATTTTTGCAATTTTGGCAATTTTGGAAAAACTGTACATAAATTAAAACTTTAAAAACGCTGCCATTTCTTTATTAATTGGAATAATTTAAAAATTCTTCCATTCATTCTTCCATTCTAAACATTCCATTATTTCAATTACTGTACATTTTTATAAATTTTATTTTAACTGTAAAAGTACTGCATTAAATAGATGTTAATAATACTTTTTACCGTTTAAGTCTAGGACTTGTAGTTAGGAAGCTATTTAAGTTTTCGCATTCTTGTTTTTTGTGTATGCCCCTATATTTATTAAATCCATTTAATGGGAAACCTCGTTAGGTGTCAGCAAATTTTTCCAGGATAATCTTCAATAACATAAACTCTATGATCATATCTACCATTTGAATTGATCAAACTTTCCGAATATCACCAACTAATCCCGTCAATCCAATTATAGTCACTGCTGACATGCACATTTTACATATTAAATAACATAAATATGGATGACATTATACAGTACTTTTTTATATGAATTCATAGACTTATATTTTTCGTAAATATAATCACAATTTGTATTAAAATCTGATGGATAATTGCCATCAAACTATTAGTGAAGTGCCGTTTATATT